CTGCTGCTTCCCCCAACCTTCTCAGCCCCATTATTGCAGAAATGGGTAAGGGAATTCATGAAGGTCTCTTCAAAAAGATAAGACAATGGTCAATAAGCTTATGAAAAGATGTGCAATAAGCATATGAAAAGATGTGCAAAATCACTACATAAGGGAAATACAAACCAGAACTACGAGATATCACTTCACCCCTGTTAGAATGGCAGAGCAGAAAATAGGATCTGTTGGCAAAGATGTGGAAAAATTGGGATGCTATGTAAAATCATGCAGCCATTATGGAAGACGATCCAGCAGTTCCTCAAAAAATTAAAAATTGAATTATCACATGATCTGCAGTTCCACTTCTGGGTACGTACTGGAAAGAGTTGAAAGCAGAGTTTAAAAATGATTTGTATTATACCCACATTTTATAGCAGCATTATTTATAATAGCAAAAATGTGGAAGCAACCCAAGTTTCCATTAGCAGATGAGTGGTAAATGTGGCAGTGCAATGTTATTCAGTCATAAAAAGGATGAACATTCTGGCACATACTACAGAGTGGGTGAAGCTTGAGGACATTATGCTAGGGGAAATAAGCCAGTCAGCCACAAGAAGATAAGTACTGTATGGTTCTACACGTGTTGTACTTAGAGCAGTGAAAATCCGAAATTAGAGTCGTGGTTATCAGTGTTTGGAGGAAGGACAGAATTGGAAGTTATCGTTAGTGGGTCTGGAATTTCAGCTTTATACAAGGAAAAGTTCTGAAGATAGATGGTGGTGGTGGTTGGACAGCGGAGGTGCCATAGCGTACTACAGGCCAGCAGGCATGGGGGTACACCTAGAGTGCGTTTTCTACATGATGACTGGACTGAAGTGCTAACGCTTTTTAAATTCTTGGATCGTTTATTTAGGAAAAAGACCTCAACCTGGTGGAGCACAGTGGCGGGTTGCCTCAGCGTCGGAAGTCCTATGTACTTCCGTTCGGGCGCTCAGGAATTCGGAGAACCGGGGTGGTGGAAACTTGTGCATAACAAGCCTCCAACAATGAGACCTGAAGGAGAGAAACTGTCTGCCTCTGCTTTGAAAGTTAAAGGTACTGTGGTGAGACTGGTATAGAATGTGCTGGTCAGAGCAGAGCGGAGGAGTGCGAGCTCAGGAGACGCCCGGCGTGGACCAGGCCGAGCTCGTAGGTCTCTTTCTGCTCGGCAGTTTGTTGACAGTTTGTGTGCTGTCGATAAATACTATGCTAAGAGAGCGTTTTGTCATTTCTTTTTCTTTCTTTCTTTCTTTTTTTTTTTTTTTTGCTATGGGGCTCACATGCTTGATAGAGAGGAGTAAGAAAGCACTCCTCGGGGCCATGGCTATGGCACAGCCCCTTCTCCAGTTTCATCTCAGGATTTTGGGTACACATGCACATGTGTCCAGCATGAGTTTCAAGCCTCCAGGTTCAGACTTGGAACTGCTGTTTGCCACTTGGGAGTCCAGTGCCTTAACTACCATGCCACCTGCTGGTCCCTTCACAGTTAGCCTCTAACAACCTCATTTAAGCTAGATCTCTGTTACTTTCCCCAGTCTTCCACCTGTCCTTACTCTTGGATTATTGAGAAGGAAATCTCAGACATCAGCATTTTTTCTAAGTAACTGAGCATGTATTTCTAGGAAATAAAGATTTTTTGCTTTCTTTTTTTTTTCTGGAGAGGTTTTTGCTATAGGGTGCGTGTGCTCGCC